TCCTAAGGTGACACCCTAGGCTCCCACCTAAGGACGCGGTCTAAAATCACATCATTCTCTTTTTTTCCGATTCTTTATTCGTATAAATAAAATAAGGTTTGGTTTTTCCTACCTAGCCTAGCTCAATAAGGGGGAGAATGCTCCGTTGAACTTGATCTACACGTTCTTAAACTCAAACACACCAATTTTGGGGTGAACCGTCGTGTTTTGACCCTTCATCCACTCACCGTAATTTTAACAGTTTCGAATGAATAGAACTTTTTGCAAGGCTCAACGAAGGGCTAAAACACGAAGGGTTCACCCCAAAATTGATCTGTTTAGATTTAAGAATGTGTAGATCAAGTTCAACAGAGCGGATCACAAAAAAAGTTAGGAAATGATGTGATTTTAGGCCGCGTACTTAGGTGGGAATCTAATGTGTCACCTTAGGAAAACATTACCCATATATATATATATATATATATGTCGTCTTTTCCCTTCATCCACTCACCGTAATTTTAACAGTTTCGAATGAATAGAACTTTTTGCAAGGCTCTACGAAGGGCTAAAACACGAAGGGTTCACCCCAAAATTGATCTGTTTAGATTTAAGAATGTGTAGATCAAGTTCAACAGAGCGGATCACAAAAAAAGTTAGGAAATGATGTGATTTTAGGCCGCGTACTTAGGTGGGAATCTAATGTGTCACCTTAGGAAAACATTACCCATATATATATATATATAAAGAGAGAGAGACCTCTCGTTCATTGGGGGAATCGAGAGGGGATTTTGACTGTGGTCCTAACTGTAAGAAGGTTTGACCAAGTGGGTGTTTTGAGACAATCCTAACTGTAGGAAGGTTTGATCGCTCAATTTGTGGACCTCTCGTTCATTGGGGGAATCGAGAGGGGATTTTGACTGTGGTCCTAACTGTAAGAAGGTTTGACCAAGTGGGTGTTTTGAGACAATCCTAACTGTAGGAAGGTTTGATCGCTCAATTTGTGGACCTCTCGTTCATTGGGGGAATCGAGAGGGGATTTTGACTGTGGTCCTAACTGTAAGAAGGTTTGACCAAGTGGGTGTTTTGAGACAATCCTAACTGTAGGAAGGTTTGATCGCTCAATTTGTGGACCTCTCGTTCATTGGGGGAATCGAGAGGGGATTTTGACTGTGGTCCTAACTGTAAGAAGGTTTGACCAAGTGGGTACTTTACGTCCAGACTCTAACAGAGAGAGTGTTGAGTGCATAGACATGGTGAGAATGGGAGTTCTTATTCATTACATTGCTGTGGTTTTGGGAACTTCCCGTTACATAAATCGTCCACCCCCAGTTTCCTCTGCGGAACTGGTTCGGACATTATTATCAGTTAACTAACCGGGTTATCCTTAAGAATATTAGCTTAATATTCTCCAGGAACTTCCCGTCAAAAGTGGGGAAACAGTTTAGACTCATATACCTATTGGAGTATCAGGGAGTAGTTTAACCTCTTATACCGGTCGGAGGATTGAGAAACAGTTTATACTCGTATACTCTTTGGAGTTTTGCCGTTCTCAATTGGCTTACCTTAGCGTTATGACGCCGGCTTCAACCAAGGTCTGAATGCTATTCTTGAGAGCAAAGCAATCCTTGGTGGGATGAACGACCCTCCTGTGGTATGCACAGTACTTTGGGTCCGTAGTGTTGTCAGCTTCCTCCTGATTTGTGATAGGTGGTAGCTTGATCTTGTTACCTTCAAGGAGGGATTCGAAGATGGCTGGAACGTCTTCGTCCTTGAAGGAATACTCTCTTTGGAGTCTCGGACCCGAAGTCTTTTGCTGCCTTCGGGATTGCTGTTGTGACGCTTGATTAGCACCACCAGTAGCTGCAGGTGTTTTGCCCTTACCACGAGAGGCGAAATTTGAGTCCAGCGGATTAACCGTCGGTTGGTTCCTCTCGGCCTTCTTCCTTCTAAGGAATCGCTCAGCCTGCTCCCCTCGGGCCTTCAGATCCTTCCAAGTGTCAGACGGTGCTGTTCCCATTGCTTCCAACACGTCCAACGCAAGGTTGTTGTGGCAAGTTTGGAGGATGAATTCCTCTGTGATCGGGTCCCGGCAATTCATCGCCTTGTTCCGGAATCTTTTGACGAAGGTATCGACTAACTCTCCGTCCTTCTGCTTCTCATCGAGCAACGATCCGATAGATATCTCGGTGTCGTCGTCGAAGAAGTTGGCCAGGAACTTGGTCTCCATGTCATCCCAGCTGTTTACGCTGCCTGGCTTGAGGCGGCGATACCAATCGAAGGCGGCTCCGCGAAGAGTGCCGACGAATGACCGCACCATCAGAGGCTCATTACCAGAGATCACCCCCAAATGCGATTTGAAGTAAATCAAATGCTGGGTAGGTGAACCCATCCCATTAAACGGCGTGAAGTTAATTAGATTAAACTTCGCCGGATATGGGATCGATTCCCATTCTCTTGGGTATGGGCAAGGAATGCCTGTTTTCTTCGTCTCTTGAGCGGAAATTAGTGTGTTGATTTTGCTCTCGAGGTTCTTGATCTTCAGGTTTTCGCCGGTTTCTTCGCCAGCATTCTCATTACCACCCCCTGCGTTGACGGGAGGATCATTGGTGTTACGAGCATTTGTATCCTCATCTTCCACATTAATCGGGTTACGATGATTCTGCTCGCCTTGTTGGTTCGCCAATGCTTGGATCTGTTGGTCATGCATTTCTCTCATCTGCTGCATGGCCATCTCCATCTCAAATTTGAAACTTTCTTTCTGCTTAGCCAAAGCGTCTTCAAGCATCTTGGCCATCTGCTCCGCACTTATCATCAGGGCCTCGCGGGGTTGTCCCTCGCTGGATACTGTATTATCTGATGCCACCGCGGAGCCGGCATCAGATTCTTCATCTTCTGAAGGGCGTCTTGTCCGAATCCTACCATAAGTTGCTCGCTCTATGGTTCCGGACTGCAGACGGGTTCTAGGTCGGGAAGCTTTCAGAATCGACTCGAAATCTTCTCGTGCCGATGTCCCTTTGCTCGTCATGTTGGTGGTGACCCTCGGAAATTCTCCGTCTTCAATCACCCTTCTTCTTCGTTGGAAGCGCCTAGGCCTTGGTTTTGGCGTTTCCGCATTAAGTCTTTCAAAAACTGAAACTCTTTCGGGGACCGCCTTAATGCAATTGCATTCCGACAATACCGCCCGAATGAGTTTGGAACAGGGACATTGAATTTCCCGTTCTCGGGGACTCCTCTTCCTGGTTCTATTCGTACCCCCAGCACGATAGTACAACTCGTCATTTTGACAGTCAGAGTAACCTATCGTGTGCGGGCACGCCTTCTCAGGTACAACACAATCATTATCAGATGATAATGTTTCCATCTGAGGTTGACTTGCCTTCTTTGGGCTTTCAAAGGTTACCCGCCTCAAAACATGCCTTTTTGGGCGTGAATTTTCGGCGTGATCTTGGACTTCAATGCGCAAATTGGTGCGCGCAGCTGCCTTGAGGTCTTTGTCATGCTGGAGGTGATGGCGACCCCCAGTATGTTGAGTCGTTCTGGGCTTCTTCATCGGGCCCAAACGCTCGTGAATTGGAGCTTTGCCTCTCACGTCAGGAATTGGACCGAGGCGCTCCAAAATTGGTTTCTTCTTGCGGGATGACTCTGCATGATCTCCCGGAGAAGTTATTGGGATTGACGGCGACTTTGGTTGACTCGCCGGAGTTTGACCTTCCTTAGAAGGCTGCACTGGTTGCTTTTTGGCCTGAGTCGCCACTTCAGACTTAGGCTTCCAGACTTGTCGTGTTGGTGGTGGCTTCTTCTCCACCTCCTTTTGCAGCTTTCTACGGGCTTCCTGAGCTTGAGCCCGTGCCTGCGCTGACATCGCCCGGCGCTTGCGAATGCGCTCTTCGAGCGTTGAACGGTTCCGTTTGACGCGGACCCATTCTTTCTTTGGCGGCTTGGAAGAGTCGCCATTCATTGGTGGTTGAGGCTGTTTGCCTCTTCTGTTCTTCAACTCCGCGTGGTAGCGGAATCCGTCCGTAGACTCCATCGCCTTAGCGAATTGCCGCGCAAGGCGTTGACGACGCCTCTGGCGGGCTCTCTTTGAGAGAGTCACAACGCCCTGAACAGTAGAGGCGTTGGCGGGAGTTGGGTTGACCTGATTGGAGGTCGGTGGAACTTCATTTGACGCAACTTCGGCGTCAGTTGGGTTGAGAGCTTCGTGGGCTTCCCGAGCAGCTTCAAACCAACGAGCTTTTCTCCCGGAGGAGAACTTCTTGGACTTGCGGGGGGAGATAGAGCCGGACGAGGACACGTACTCCTCGAACTTGGCTTGGTCGAACTCGTACTCGACCTCCTCCACGACCGGGATTGCAATCCGCGGCTGCGACGCATCGATCTCGTTGGCGAGATCGTCGGCTCCCACTGTGGTCGCCTAATTGTTCGCGTGGAAAACTGTTTTCTTTTTCATTGATATGATTGTCATCTTGGGTTACAAAGATCCGGTCTTTTATAGATCCGGTTACAACTAAATCAAAGAAAAAAATAAAAATTACAACTTTCCTCTTGTGAACAAATCGCAAGCTCCTGTTTTGCGGTTGCTTGCTTGTGTGGGTTCTTTGCCAACGCCGGGGTTAATCCGTGGACCACCGCGCGATCTAGATCCGGTCGGATCTACACGAGTATGCGGGTATTATTCCACGAAGGGAATAATAGCCGGGAGGGATTAATCCACCAAGGGAATAATCGCTCGGATCTCGAGATCTAAGACCAAGCTTAGATCTGGAGTGTAGCCTCGTGTAGATCTCAGATCTGTTCTTTCTTCCTCTCGAGATCCTGCCTTTTCTGACGTGGATGGTCGCC